AGTTTGTGCTGAATTAAGCAAGTCATATGACACGGAATTATTGTCAGAAGTAATGTCCTTGTGTTAGTTGACTGGTCGGTTGAGTTATCAGCGGGCGTTTCAAGCTCCGATGAAGCACACGTCAAATCAGTGGTCTTGACAAAAAGCACTGCCTCAGGGAACATAAGCTCGTGAATGAAGTATTTAGCAAGTAGTTTGTACTTCTATTAATACCGCACGAATTACCATGTGACATCCTTAGTGGTCACATGAAGTTACAAGCATTTTTGGTGGTCATCACTTTATTTGGGGATCTCAGCTCATTTTCTTCTTGACATCCCCATTACATCTACATTAACAACTGTAAAAAGTAGGTTGGCAATTTTGTTTTGGGGTGTGGGTATATACTATTACCAACGTTGCATACGACTTTGTAAGTATTTGCTCAAAAATAAACCATTTGTTCTGCTAATAATAATGCCTGATAACTTGGTGAATCCTTTTCCATTTTTCAAACCTTTTTAAATAATTTATTGCATCCACCGCTGGATCGGTTAGTTTAAGTTACTGCAGCCAAATCAAGTTTATCCATCCACCAGTTTTAGGACGGCTATTAATACAAAGAAGGACGGAAAAGAAATTTGGATTCTAAACGTCATGTTAGGGTAAAGTTAAGCCTAGCGCAAATTATGGCTCACTAAATTTGAAAATGCTGCCCTGGTTGAAAACAAATGTACCGCTTGACGCGCGTCTAATTGCCGTCAGCACGCCCCTCCGACGACCGACTGCTTTACATGCCACTTATGGTAGCTGCGCTTCTCATGCAGAGGAAAGCAGTCAGTTGTTCAATTTTCTGCCTTTTCCTACGATTACTCTTTAATTTATGTAAATTGCACCTTTCACTGAAATGCACGATTCTCCAGCCACGTCTACATACTCTCCACCTTTCTGTGTGTGGGTAAGAAAGCTGACAAAGTCGTGTGGCTTAGTTTCGCAGTACAAAATGACTCATAATTCTACTTCATTATGATTAAAATCACTAATGACACATCAACACAGCAAACCAATGCCTGTGGATAGTCTACTTAAACCCAATTTAAGTAGGCGGCGTGACAGCTACTTAAATCGTTGCGTATACTTCCATCACTTATTCGCTTCGCGTCAATCGCTAGTGAGACCGCATGATCATGAAGGAGTGCCCCACTTTTACTATGCAAGCGCGGTACTTGTCATAGTTCAAGCTATGTCAAATAGATGAAAAGAATGTTTGATCTACCAAATAATTGTGTGGGAATTTGGGGTCACAGAAACTTTTGTTGCATTGACTTCCACCTGACAAGCATGTTTAGACTAGCTCAAGAATTATTTTAAATAATTTACTATTCCACTGAAAATAGCCTGGAAAATGGTTGGTTTGGCTGGATGATAGAATGAATGGGCATGTCTGACGCCTCCCTCCACTTCAGCAAACTTGGTGCCTGTTTGAACCTACAGTGGGAGAGATCCACTGGCCTAGAGACTAAAATGGACTACCAAGTTGAGGACTTACTTCAGCGGGAAAAACGCTGTACTCGGGGCCCTAGCCTCTAAAGTAATCCAACGATGAAATGCTACCCCACAAAATAAACTCACATGAGTGCTCTTGAGGAGAGTGTAGTTGGTGCATGCTCTTGGCGATAGCAGCCAGGTGACAGAACGACCCCATCTACCACGGAGTGAGGCAAAACTTGCTACTCTTGTGCAAGAAGGAGGCTTAGGAGTTATAGCGTTAGTCTGGATCAATCATTAGTCTCTAGGGTTTTTTTCGGGGGTGTATAAAACAAGTTGCTTGAGTGACTGCTTTTACGGCAGTGCAATCAAAACTGTTTGCTCCTTTCTCTTGACTTAAAAGGTATATAATTTACAAGAATTTTTTAAAGTAACTTCTGCCTCCAAATCCAGTGTGTGCTACAAAAAAATCATTCCGATTGGATTTGAACGCGAATCACCTTAAAGGGGCCGTTTTTTGGTTGAGAAATTATTGCTGAAACATGGCTTGATTGTTTCAGTGTTGTCACGGTGACCAACGTGGATTGGATGGACCAAAGTTCGCATTGGTCAAAGTCCCGTCCGCCGATCAATCAGTGGTTACTTTGATCCAATCAGCTTGCAATATCTTGACATGGCTCAACGCTTGAGGGGCGCCAGTTTAGATGTCGGTTAGACCGGTTGCTAAGGCGTCATTTTTTTTTGTGTAATTTCGCCCAGTCATGGTTTTTCTGGCAGTGGCCTGTACTCGGCGCGACTGTAGTGATTTTATGAAGGGCAACTGGTGGCGACAAGCTGTTAGACTAACCCTGATTTGTGGGATTAAAGTGGTCAATTACGAGTCACCAGATAAATTCACTTAATGACGCCACAAGAGATGAACCTTTTAATTAAAAATTAAAAAAAAGGCTACTTATATAGACACTTCAGCGCTGTTACTTTTGGAGTGTTATTAGTGTTATGGCGGGGGGAAGGCGTGTCGGTACTTGTCTCAGCTTTCCACGTCAATCAAGATTAGACGACGTTGTATGAAGGAAGCGACAGGGTGGAAGTGGCTGTTAATCCTTGACTTGACTCTTCAGAAAAGGAAAGATCAAGGCGCCTTTTCTTCAACCCGTTTTGATGCTTCCGTCTATCTGCTTCCCAATCGTTGATTTTAGCTATTCCTAGATGATCTCTCCGTCCACCCATCCATCCTGGATCCATCCATCTATCCTCTATTTATTTACGTAGGTGGCAACAGCACAGCAGACGTCCATCCGTCCGTACAACCATACATTTGTTAGGCCATTGAACAATAGGTTGCCATCAAGATGTGGAGTGTAGCTCTACCACCTCCATTTGAGGTAACAACAGCACAGCAGACCTTCATTCCGGGAAGGAGGAAGTATGAATGCAGCGACCCAAGTGAGCAGCTGCCTGGACGAGCATCGCGAATCAGATGAAAAGTGACCTCCCTCAGCGCGACACTGTCAAGCTTGAATAGTTTCGTTATGCCACCCTATTCCCTGACCTTCTAACAAGACATGAGACGCAACCCGGTTCGAAAAGTTAAGGCGTCAAGCATGCGTGACAGGCGATTTGAAGGGGTCCCCAAAGTCTGAAACACCGGGCATCATTTAGCTAAACACCTTATCTGCTTACTTGGCTACCCCCATTCTCACCCACTTATTAATTCCTGGTTCGCCTACCTTCACCTCTCGTGGTTAACTCAATAACTCGTGCTTCCACGAACGCTCTGAGTCATTACTAATTCACTTGTCCACGTCTCGACTCCTCGTCTTCTCATTCACCTTGAACCCAACGACAAACCTCCTCATCCCCTCTACTGATTTACTTATCCAGCCCTGGTCCCTCCACTCCAGACCTGCCTAGCTACTTACGCATTCATTGCGTTTTTCATTATTACTACCATTTCAATTCAGGAGAATGTAAAGATCGCGAAGTGAGAAAGCCGACATAAATCCCGAAAAGCCGTTTAATTAGAAGGAGGTTGATGAAAGAGAGAACTGCCACGCAGTAGACCAAGCCGTGGAAGAATGCTAACCAGTCACCCCATTCAATGATCAGAGTCACAGACGAAAATCGACGACTACAGCAGTTCGTGACAGTTATTCGCTCCGCAATTGTGGGACCATAAAAGGACGTAATTACCTAGAACTGGTGTTTCAAGGTAAACCAATTCGCTTGTTTCACGGTTTAACACGCCCAGTCATAATATAAACAGATGAAGAGCACATGACATGACCAAGTTATATCCAGATAGAACAAAAGCAACGAGATCGCAGCACAAAATAATCATTCTATTAATTCCCCGATTTGATCCTTACGACATTAGAATTGTGGAAGACAACGAAAATGTCTCACGCTTCAACAATGTAATATCCACGATAAACTCCCAAGAACATTATCGTAGCTATGGTGGAAAATGAAATTAGTTGGAGCTACAAACAAAAACGCCGAAGCACTACGATGGCGAAGAGCAGAGGGGTCGGGGAGCGTAGAAGTCGCATAGACACCTCACTCCAAACATTTAACCTCCTAGCTACCCCGATCTGAAACTGCGAGACTTTCAGGCGTGGAGTGGCACCAGGAGGGCAACCAACAAGCACACATACTACCACTGGGCAGCTAGTGACCGACTTGAATAAAAAACGAAGTCACCGAGGGACTAGGGCTGCGACAATGTTGACAGCATCCAGAATACGCACACCTTAAGGCCCCAAAACTAACAAGTGCTAATCTCTTAAGTGGCGCTAGGTAAGATGAGATGAAAAACAACGCAAGCTGCATGTGACCACAGAGTTACATCGATTTCGAATTAAAAAGCCCCAAAATAATAAGAAGCTACTTATCTGAATACCAAATCTAGAAAACTATTTGCAACGTAGGGAAATGGCATACAAAGGTCCAGTGGACTAGAAAAAATAACCTGATGACAATCGATAACTCAAAGAAAAATCAAGATTATACTCAAGCCTTAGCAGTAAGGATTCATGCGATAAAATTAAGTGACACGGTAATGATCAAAAGGCGGTATCCTGGCATCCTTATAAACGCTACACACCAGGCTCGGAATGAAGAAACCACTTCAAAGGTCCACACAAGGTGAATTGACCAGTTTGACAAGCAAAGGTCCACATTCTAAAATGACCCCTTAGCTAACAATAATACAGCAAAAGTTCGAAATATACTCGTAATCAGGACATCTTTAGACTTAAATGTAATAATTTGAGACTAACGCCTCTAAAAACAACACGTACGAACCAGTACTGCATACGAATCTTCCACTGCTGTTGTAGAAAGCATGATGTGCTCACCCACATAATGAATCCCTACCATTCACGTCTACATCCACAACATACCCTCATGTCCTCCCCGATAAGAACACAATAGTTGGGCCAGCAATTCACTGGTTTTGACGTTCAAAGTTACTTCACACAGACGTACTTGCAGAACACACCTTGAAAGAGCACCGTTGTAAATTAAATAAGTTAGAAAGCCATTCTTATGTGTTGGATGATTTCGAAGACAACTAAAGCAAACGAGAATTCCAAAAAAGAAAGGAACAATTACCAGAACCACAAACGACAAATACAATGAGACCGAGAACCCACGCATTCAAATTCGACTGATCGTCGTTAGATTTCTAGAGGGTGCGTTGAGCAACATAATTTAAAACAGTACCAGTGATTTTGGGACATTGCCACGGTTAGCAATGTTGCTGTGAGCACGCTCATTCTGCACTTTCATTCGCTGTTTAGCGCTCATTCTTGGCGAGAGCAACAACAGGACGTAAAACGTAACCCAGGCGCGTAAAAGGGGTGAACTCCAACAAATATTCCTCAGAAAATGCAACATGTATAATTATACAAATTCGTATAATGTGTATAAGCGAATCAAAAAACTGTAAAGCTTAAAAAAGTTCTCATTTAATTCTATGCATTGCTTTTCAAAATAATTCCAGAGAAAGCGTCCACAAAAATAATTTTAATGGGAACCTTATATGCACAGCTTTCCACCAAAAATGTCGAGATTTTTTGTAAAAGAAGCATATAAGCAACGTGGAAGAAAGTTTTGTTGTTGAAAGTAATATATAAGGGAAAAAATTGACAGTTCAATTACACTTCATATTCACCCCTAGATCATAATAGAAGCTACTGACTTAGTTGTGGCGTTTTCGTTCTTCTCTGAAGACAAAGAAAAAAAATACCCGGACAGATTACATACATTCGATATGCAGGGGTTATTTGGGCTGTTGAAATTGCCCGAAGGCCAGCCACCCGGCGTGGTACATCGGCCAGGTCAAAAGTGGCTCCTTATTAAAACATAGAAGTAAGTAACCATCTTGTCACGCAACCCTTTACCTCGTTTGACCGTCGTCCCCTGCGCCCCCCTTGATCAGCATCTCGTGTCTGTTTCTCCTTGCCACATTATTCCCACTGCGGAGCTGCCCCGTCATGTCCATCCGGGCTCCGTCTATCTAGTAGAGGATTCAAAGAGGCATCACGAGCTTAGTTTGTCGACAACTTTAGGTATGTGCAGTGGGAAAGGTCTGCACTAAAAATATTCCAGATTATTCTACCTTCAGCGTCGCCTCAGAATTCAATATTTTTCCTGCGGAGGAAAGGACTGGAGTAGTTGTCGAGGGTAGACGTCAATTTTAGCCCTTCTCTTTAGCGTCATCCTTGATTCTTTTACTCGCAGTTAATGTATTTCTTCCGCCCCGTTAATGTTTTACAACTCAGCAGTGATAGTCAGGACAGATATCCTTTAAGATCGAGTTTGCTTTCCGCTGCCGACAAAGTATCATTCAGAGACATCCCTGATGACAATAAAAGACACAACCCTTGGGCAGAATACATACGTTTGACACGTAGAATATACTATGGCTACTAGCATGGCCTGAACGCCAGCTAAACCAACGTGGTACAATAGCAAAGTTAAAACAGATTCTTCACCGTAGTCCAGGGCTAAATAAGCTTAGTATTAAAAGTATTTTGCGAAAAATACACAACATTTTGAACAATTTTTTCTTCATAGCATTTTTTCGGCAGATGATTTGAGGAAAAGGATTTTCAGATGTGATTTATAAAGATTTACAAGTGTTAAACCTTTGGCCGAATAGCAGGTGCAACTTTCTGTTCTAAAACAAAAAAAATTTTCCCAAATTATGTGGCTGGTGTATCAAGTTTAAAAAAGTCCTAGTTTAGGCGGATATGATTAAGTAGTAAAATGTAATACGATAGTGGTTTATCTTTCGGTTCTGGTGAGGCGCCACTTTTGTACTTCGAATTAGCCCCCTTGTACCTCGCTGGGTGGGCTGGCCTTTTGGGCCATGCCAATAGCCCAGACACCTTCTCCGTGCTGAATATATATATATTCTGCCCGAGTATTGTGTCTTCTTTCGTCTTAAGGGAGTCTCGGGACGCTACAAAAAAGTAGATTGACTAAACAATTGAGTTCTACACTTACGTCTGTGCATTTTATCTGATAATTTTGTGGCAAAGCAGAACCTCCCCGAATGCGGAAGAAGACACACTGCTATAGCAGAATATAGCCATTCGACGCATAGAGGGGCTTGAGAGTACTGGCATGGCCCGGAGGCCAGCCCACCCGTCAAACATTAAGTGGAAAAAACGTCAATTGTCACCCTTACCAAAACCGTAAATTAAACAGTTAATGTATTAAAATTCGCCTAATATCTACTGTTTGTATTTAAATCTATAGCCTGCAGGCTTTTATGTAAGACTGGTAATGCCCACGAGTTATTGGAGTGATAAACACATTCTGTCACCATAAATTTCCTCCACACTGATTAAAATGAGTTCTAATTATGTTTACGAAAGGTATGTTTCAAAAGACATATAAATAATACGACTTTATTGATGACGGACACATTGTAATCCAGCAATTTTGCAAATATTATACAATGTCTTTGGCCTTGGCAGTACGATTATACAGCTACACTGTAATAGTGATTCGCCTATCAAAAAATAGCACATTTATAGTCTGATAAGAAAAGCCCTTTGGACCTCTGGTGAATTATGAGTTGCACGTACTTGTTGGACTTCACCATCAGGGCGACCAGTTACCAAGTGAGTGGAAAGCACGGTATGCCGCTGAAGACCGTGATAGAAGTGACATTACACCAACTTGTCTAGTTTTTTTGTTTCTGTGGTTGAATGTAGGGATAGCTCATGAACGTAAAAGTTATTGAAATTAACGTATTCTTTTAAGAGCATCAGTAGAAACATTCCAGTCAAATAGGAGTCAAATTTTTCCTAACAAGACTGAATCATTTGCACTAAATTCTTTTAAAATAATATGGTTGCTATTTTTTATATTTTTATTTGCGGAAATCGCTTTGCGGAGCACTTGAAGCCTCGGAGACTTACATTATTTTGTTATTGTGTTCATGCCTTCCCATTGGTTGTTTGGGTTTTACACCCGGACTCTTCGAAATTTCGCGCTCGGTCATTGGTTTGCTTTCCCATCAATTGTATTGGTAAAATGGATTTCCAACATCGCGTTGGAGGCAAAACCGGCTCTGGTGGTGTAGCATCAGAGTCGGAGGCGAATCGCGACCGGCGTGAGCGCCTTCGTCAGTTGGCCTTGGACACTATTGATCTTGAAAAAGATCCCTATTTTATGAAGAATCACCTGGGTACTTATGAATGCAAGCTTTGTCTCACGCTTCACAATAATGAGGGCAGCTATCTTGCACATACTCAAGGTAATGTAGTCCCAATTTCAGTCTGTCTATTAAAGCACCCCCCATAAGTTGGTTTTAATTACTTGTCCTTAATGTTCAAAATAACCGAAATCTTCCAAATTCTATAGGTAAAAAGCACCAGTACAACCTTCAGAGACGCGCGCATGAACAAGCAAAAGAGGGTCCAGCGACACTTCAACCAGAAAAGGCCAAAGTTGAACCGAAGAAATTTATTAAAATTGGTCGCCCTGGCTATAAAGTATGTGGCCTGCTTACTTATTTTTCTATTGATTTTGTTCTCATTTACTTTGATTGCTGTTTGCTCCTTAGGTAACTAAGCAGAAAGATCCGGAGACAGGTCAACAATCAATGCTCTTTCAAATTGACTATCCTGAGATCGCCGACGCTGCTGGTGTGATTCCACGTCACCGTTTTATGTCAGCTTATGAGCAGCATGTTGAACCTCCAGACAGGAAGTGGCAGTATCTCCTATTTGCTGCTGAGCCTTACGAAACCATCGCCTTCAAAGTTCGCAGCCGGGAGGTTGACAAGGATCCAAAGAAGTTCTGGACTTACTGGAATCCCGCATCGAAGCAGTTCTTCCTTCAAGTGGGTTCTTGCTGCCTCTAGGATGGAATAATGTAAAGCCGACTAATTTGTTGTTTTACTACTGGTGTGTAGTTTGCTTACAAGCTTGAGAATCAATCAACGTCGTCCGCGATGATTCGTGAGTTGGAGATGCAGAAGGCGCGTGCCCAGCAGGCGCAGCTGCAGCTTCAACTGCCTCCTCCACCGCCGCCTCCACCTCCTCCGCCAGCCATTCCATCGTTCGGAACGACGCCTTTTGGTATGTCGCAGGCAGTGCAGCCACCACCGCCTCCACCACCATCGCTCACTGCTATCGGAATGGGAGTACCACAGCCCCCGCCTCCACCACCCCCACCACCGCTCTTGGCAGCCCCCCCGCCACCTCCACCACCACCGCCGCCAATCGGCCAGTAAAGAAGGAAATTTCCCTACCTTGCTCTCGGTCTGCCTGTGGAGTAGTGCCTGTGCCGTTTGAGACTTAATAAAGCCAATTTCTGTACACTTTTCTTCGTTGCTACCAGATTTTTCAGTTTTTATTGTTAAGGTGTGTTTATCTACCAAGCTTTCTTATAAATCCATTTTTTGTGCACGGAACTATTGTCTATGGACCATTAAAATAGCAGAATAGTCTGCTCGCATCAGAACTGACAGTCGTAAAAAATGAGGGCTAAGGTGGCCTCAAACTGTGTTGGGGCTGGCGCATGTGAAAATGCCCTCTTGAATCGATGCAAGGTTGTGCCCTGTCCTTTCCTTGCCTTAGAGCTAATTCCTCCTGCTAAAATTGGTTGGGGTATAGAATACTCCAGCTCTGGAACAGCATCCACAACTTTGCAGTCACCAAGCCGGAGTCCTTCCCATACGGCACCTAGGAATAGTACTTATATCCATGCCATAGGCATTTCAACTGTGCCGTGAACTCAGGGGCACCACCATTGTTTCTGTCTTGCGGATGATTACAACCCCCAGGAAATCTCATCGAGGCATCGCTGACTGCTATTTAGCCACACGGGGTCTTCGCACTTCTGCAGCCACACCCATGCTATGGGGTAACGCCACCAGTCTTCCCTATGTGACCAAAAATCCAATTCCCGACTGCCGTGTCATCCTCCGCTGCTAAAATGGAAATAAAAGTAGAAATAATACACTTTATTGGTACACATCTGGGAAGGCATTTCAGCAACCAATCTACGTGGGCACCCTACTATCTTCCACAAGTCTATTGCTCGGGTAGTAAACCTTGAAGCTGTATTCCTCACTCCCAAAGCGCCCCGGATTGACAAATCGACAACCACCGAGGGGATCCTCGCCACCCGACACGATGGAAGACGAGGCGACGTTCAAATCTGCGATGGCATCCGGTTCCACAGCAACGACAAGATCTGGCAGAGGGTTAAGGCAGAGACTCTGATCGTAGGCCCAGTAGACTGGAGAGACGTGGAGAGGGAGAGGAGTGAGGTGTCCTTGACTGGCGAGGCAGCGAGCTAGGCCTCGACCCAACACCGCAGCTGAAGCGTTCTCTTCCGTTGTTGTTGTTGTACCGTGTTCCCGACCCAGCGGTTGTTGTGTCTGAATGAGTAGTAAACAGCAAGTCTGCCCCATCACTCGTGGCCGATGCCAAGGCAACAGCAGTGGCAGTGGATGCGTGAACACAACACGGTGTGGTGAATGACGAAGCCTCAAGACCTGAACCCACAAATATCTACTCATCCAGGGGACTCCAAACGGCGTACACTGCCGGACAACCTGACTCCTGCCAACATCTCAAAGGCGATCGACACCAGAAGTACTGGATCCATACCCACATCACAGCAGTCTTAGCATCTGATGAGGTGGCTATGATGAAAGATTATGGAGTTAAAAGTTCTACTGCCTCGGATGGACGAGACTAATTCGGGTGTAATGGAAAGAATCGACTACATCAAGAAGACGATTTCATCTTGTACGGTCGGACAGGCAGACGTGTGAGTAGCTTATGGATGGAGAATAATAAACAGAGGCAGTTAGGCGCTTATCCTTTACCTCAGCATCGAGGTCGCAGGATGCAGCCTCCACAGCAGGAGAAGTTGACGACGCAGTCGGCAAGTGGATACAATACCTCACCAGGTGTCTCCCATAGTCATATCGAAACACCACCACCTCTCTTGTGAACACCCTCAACCTGCATGGATTGGTAGCTAACCAGAGCCAATTGGCAGAAGATGCGCCTCGTTCCTCCATTCCAAAGAGGTCCGATGGGAGTGGAGGGCGGGGATAAATCCCCTGAGGTCCCACACATGGGTCGTGCGGCCCTGGAACCAACACCAGACGCGGTTGACGGTGCCCACGTGTCTCCGCATCGCCATAGACCCGAAGAAAAATACCTGTGAGACGCTTAAAGAGGTGTTTCAATAAAGTGCGTTTTTCGTTGATGTGGGGACTGTAGTCGGCAGAGATGAAGTCGCCGCAAAGGAGAAACGCGCAAGGTGGAAAGTCCGCGTAGCCCGTGAAGATTGTCTCGAGGTGTTCCAGACACCCCGTCACGTCTAGACGGCTCTCACCCAAGAGGACCAGCATGGAGTCCTGTGTGGAGAGAGGAGCCCAACAAAGGTTACATCCAACTCGACTCAACGATGAAAATCAGTTCCTGTTTGGCCCTCCCCTCTGTTTACTGAAAACTCACCGGTGATGCGTCCAGGAGTCGAGACATTTGTTGATCGACTGGAGCGGCAGGAGCGTCCAAACTCTCCCCACCGAACGGATTCGTCGCGCTAAAGTACTTTCGCGTCTCAGCAGCGCGTTCTACGGGTGGAAGACCGATACCGGTGGCACGAAACACTTCACCATTATCGTCGTAGTAACCCTCGGCGAGAACTATCGCGCCCTCTGAGAAGATACCCTGAGAAAACGATAGTTACTTCAACTGTCATGCAAAGGGTGACTGAAATCACTCGTCTTCAAGCGCAGGAGCTTTTTTGGTCTCTTGCTGGTCGGCCTCCGCGCCTTCCAGCAATTTCCTGACCCGTAGGCCCTATACATTATCCAGGGAAAGAAAGGAGACTCCTACCTGATGAAATCGAGTGTTGGAGAGGTCTAATCTGACCAGATTTGTTGGATCCTCCAGATACCACTGGGCGTTTTTCAGCTGCACCAGAACCCCAAGGACAATCACAATCGCTGTCGCCTCCCCATTTCGTTCATCTTTCTCCTCCTCCTCCACATCCTCTCCTGAAGTCGTTTTGCCGCCAGAAGAGAGAAGGAACTCCACTGGACGCAACTTAAAGCCCTTCTCATCGGAGAAGAGGGGGTTTCGAGTCACCCGTTGGTATACCACCTGAAGGATAGAGGTGAAGATTGAGAACGTAAACCCAACTGCAGAAGTGTATGTTGTAGAATTGCTGAAAGATGAAGCATGCTTGACAGCGATGCGATCTCCATGGAGGGAAGGCAACACACGAATAAACGCTTTGTCGCTAGAAGTGAATAAGCCATCTCCAGTTGTATCACACTTACTTCCCCCCCCCCCCCAAATGTCCATTCAATTTCCCAAGATTATCTAACGCTGGTAAAGGGGCTAACCGCCAGAAAGAATGTCATGGGAATGGGGAGTATGAGGTGGAATAGTAAGCTCCCTCCTCAACCTCAGGTGTAAGTATGGCTTTCTCTTGCAAGAGCAACACACTCTCGCAGTCAAATGACTGCTCCCAATTATTCCTACGGAAAAAAGTTCTACACATCCGAGTTACGATAGGATCTACCTTGGCGAAAAATAGTATTTTCAGTCCACCACACGTGCACACGCAAAGCACGGTCTTTTAAGGAGGAAGTCCTCCGCACCTTAGAAGTATGGGAATGTGAGGTAAGCGGATTATTTAGTAACAACGAGTGAGGTGTTCGTTTATTTATTATTACGAGGCAAAAGACCGAATACCTGAAGAAAGTAAAAAAAGGCGAAGAGGCTTTCAGACTTATTGTTTAGTCGCAAGATTAGGACATGTAAATATAAGGTGGGAAGAACATCGCAAAGAACACGCATGTCTAAGCTCTACAAGGCTTCTGGCAAAACAATGCCAGGGTTTTACAGACTCTCACGAGTTGCAGGCACTAGGGAAGACGGTCTTGCCAGCTTTTAAAAGTCTATACGTGAGTCAAATGTGAAGTGACTGCAGTTTGAAGCCCTTGAAACTGACTGAGAAGTTCGCGTACAGCACGGCTGAAGGCATGCGGAGCAGCAAAATGCAAATAAGCCCAGTGATTTCAACTAAAGCAGAAATGACGCTTTGGACTTAAAACGCAGAATCTACTGCATAAAATAATTTGTCATCGGGATACTTGTAAACAACATTGACAGCATCGACTACGACTCGAAAACTTGCAATTTTATTAGGATGTAATAGAAGGGACAGCACGACTTGCAAAGGTGGTGAGGGGAATGAGGCCTCGAGAAACGCGGAGGATTAATTCCAACTTACCTCAAGAGACCTCTAAAAAGTGCACATTTCATTCAAAATCAGTTCCCGTAAAAGCGTACCTCATATCGATGAGCAAAGAGGAAGGACTTGCACAGAGGGGAGGAGGGAAGGAGGCTATTTACATCCTCCCCTGGTGCAGCGCGAAGTGGAACAAACTTCTTTGTGTTTTGGCAATACTTGAAACGCGGCACCTTCAAGATGAGAAGCAGTAAAGGGGAGATATTCCATATCCTTGGATTACCAGTCAAGTAGGAAAAGTCATTTGGCTTAGAAATTCACTGCACACTGGAAAACACAGAAATCTCAAAGCCTTTCTACACACTAAGATTTGAGGACTGGTGTTGACAAGGCCTGGTACTTAAAAATGATGCACCTTCGTTGATCATGTACTAAATCCCCACCCATTGGAGTCCATGTTGACATTACAGTTTGGAAAATGTGAAAACATTTGAAAAAAAAACAACTCGCATGTGAGAAAAGGCGACCCACATCAAGAGCGTTGATGAGAAAGAGAACTTCTCCGGAAGCGTCGGACTCGGACTTCCAGTTGGTGAGGATCTGTTCGCAGATGACTTTAGTGACGCGATTGCCCTCCAGTGAGGGAGTAGAAAGCACGCAGTCAACGAAACGCTTCACGACATCAGTGGAGATGGTGTCAAAAGTGGAAGCAAGGTAGGTTGCGGCGTCAGGGGCCAGTAGGAGTCCGTTCAATTTGAGGAACTTCTTTATTTCCTATAAAGAAGGAAATGGGGTAAAAGCGTAGGGAATATGACCATACAAAACTAAGAAGTCCAAATGTTCCATAAAACAAAGAAACTTCAACTACGCCTTCATAGTTGATAAAAGATTAGACAACGTACACCGGCCATTTCCACAACAAGAAGCCGCACACGCCCGACCGAGCCGCGTCTTATTCAAGAGCTGCATCCTGGCTAATTAAAACGAAATGAGGTAAAATGCTAAAAGCACCAAGTTATTGTTGCTAACTAGTGAAATTCTTTTAAGAAAAACCTTGCGTTTAGTGCCACAGAAAAATATAGATGTGTTTCAATTCACACGCATATGTCCTAAATCGTAAATAGTTGCATTTAGTTTCACCAGTTGGTTTACTTGTTGTGGCCGATCTTAGTAAAAAAATATAAAACAATTTACTGTTGCTTGCTTGTAATGATTTACAATAATGCGCACGATTATACATCTGTGTTTAAATCAAACACAAGCTTCGTACGTTAATCAGGAGTTGATTTTGTCCGGGTGTGGATTTTAGTTGGCGCCCGGCTATGCTGGAGCTAATTGTTGGCTTAATTATCCTAACCTCACTTTTACTAATTTGTACCGTCGCAGTTTTTTGTTACATCTCAGGAATTTTCCAGCCAGCTAGTCTGTCAATTTCATCAGATATTCCTTATTTAAAAGATGGAGCAACATTTTATTACAAAACTAATGTTGGATCTTACAGTACCCTGGGCAGTCTTTTCACCGAAACTTATTCCATTGCGCCAAGACTTATTCAATGTGGTGTATACTACGACAATTCCGGTAAAGTGGTTGCCAAGGCCTGCCGATCGGCAGTTGGAGTTATTTTGAAGGAAAAGTCTGCAGATGGATCAATAGACTTTGAAAAGCATGGATTTAGTGAATTTCATATTCCGCCCATAAAAGAGGCTTTGTATGCATCATTTCCACATACTTCCTTTTTATCTATCTTTATCGGAATATGGAAGGTGCTTCCTCTTCTAAGAAGACAGTTCAAGGTAATTTTTGTGGTGCCTCTGTAATGGGTTTTCAGGAGTTGAAGTGTAGTAGATTCACCTATGTCGAGGTGTACGATGATACGAAGATTCATTACATTGGTATCCTTAAGGATAATGAGGATTTTATTGTTCCGGAATTCGTTGATAACAAAAATGACGAAAGTGTCCAAATTTCGGATTCGGAAGTGGAGCAAGTACTTGAGGGAAAGGAGAAAGCAGATTAAGTGTGATATATTGTTTTAACACTACTTTTTGTGTTTCCTATGTTGTGATTCGTCTTTATCGTCGTTTATGTAGTCATTTTGTCATAAAAATGTATTTTGCTTTATAGTGTCGGTTTATCTTCTTTATAGTTTGTTTTAAAAGGTAACTTTTTTTCCTTATGCTGACAGATCGATTCTTTGGAAGCTTATAATGTTCAGCGCATTTGTTAAAGTATCCTTATCATCTCAATGCAAATTTAATTCACTGAGAGATTTAACTGGTGTCCTCTGTAGCCGGCACATCGGTAGTGCAATTTTTTAGGGAAGTGAGGACCACCTTCGTGCTGAACGTATTTGCTGGTGGGAATGAGTAGAGGCTCTGCATTTTTTAACCTCAGAGATGACTCGTTGAGTGGATTTTATCGCCTTAGAATCCCCAGTTTATGAGAGAACTCTGTTCCACCAGTTTTGCCACGAGTTTTTTAATCTCGACCATGGCGACTTAGTGTCTGTTTAAATACACCTTTCACTACTTAAGATCTTTACCCTCCGTAGATCGCGTATCTTTTCTACCAGGGCTAATACCTCACAGTCCTCCTCTGGGATGGCTTGGAGGCCTAATCTAGTGTCAGAGGTAAGTGACATCGATCCCAACAGACAGCTATCTTGATTTCTTTAGCCAATTAACATCTCGTAATGTAGCAGAATAAAGAATGGTCGAGTGTGCGGAATGAATACTCCTAGTGTTACTTTTGGATGAATGCAACCAAGATATGCGACTGACCTTAGAATATGGTTTGACCCTTGGCTTTATTTAGAAATGGCTGTTCCAGCGTCTCGACCAGACTTACAGGACGCAGTGCCACCAAAGGATAACAGTCTCCCCAGGACGCAGATTTTTAATAACCTCATACGTCTGCTTATTGGTTGGAGGGCATACAGAAACTTGTTTGGATCAAAAGAGAAGGGTATCTGTGGGAAGCATCAAAAAGGGCGTTTAGCAGAAGGGGATGATGCCGTGCTTGAGTAGTTGTTTACAATACATTCGGCTTTGGAGGCTCCTCAATGTCCGTAGGCTGTGCTTCCCCTCGACGGCGCGGTCCTTGATCCTTGTCAATAGCGCCACGCCTTCCCATGTACATCTTAACGAACATTGATAAATTTGGGGCGGTTATTTAAAAAGGAAATGCCGCTGATAAAGGCATATTTAGTGCCGGCAGATAAATAAATAAATGTTATGGAAACCTGGGTAAAGCATGTAGATGTGCAATTAAATTCACGCGGCCTATGCAGTGGATGGTTAATCGGAGCTCCGAGTGTTCTCTGAAGCTATGGTAAGCCATACCGACCAACAAGAATTAAATAGCTCTCGCGGCTGGATGCACCACATTTTTTTCTCCTACTGAGCCTCTTCTTTCCCGCTTATCACAGGCACTCTTGTCTTCTGATCCAAACAAGTCTTTGTGTGACGTCCAGACATCAGCCAGACATGATAAAGGATGGTATCAGGAAATCCCGTCTTTGGGAGAATGTCACCCATCAGTTGCATTGCATGCTGTAGGTGTAGCCTGACTTTCTGAAAATTGTCTCCCCTTCCACATGAAATGTTTTGAGAATTACACCAGTGAGAAGACAGAAACAAGGATTAGACGGTATTCTAAAACAAACACCATTCTAAAATTGTTTGTTTGAATTTTATTTTTTGCGACGGGCTGTTTAAGGCTTCACCACTGTTTCTTGGTCGGGCAGCCTGGCCTTCGGGCCGTGCCGTTAACCCTTAAGCCCTTCTGTGGTGCAAACCAAACACAATGCTGTGGTGACAGTTCTTATTATGCCAAAATATAGAGCCTTAGGGGTTAGTGCCCTCGCATCTTTGCCAGTGTTAGCGTTATTTATCCTGCAAAAGTCGTTTGGGAGCCTTTTGTGGAAGCGTAGTTTGCTCACGCTTCAGTCTTGAATGGTCAAAGTAATCATACAAAAGGTAATGATTATGAACTCTGGAGCCTTATAAGGCGGTGTTTCATCCTCCTTGGTCCATCTGCAGTCTAGTAAACTGAAACCAGCATATTGTGCCCTCTGATACGACAAAATGCTACGTCGTATTTAGGGGAATAACATAAGTATGTGACTTCTACGCATTCTAAAAAACGATCCGTGATTCAGTCATTGGTGGTCTGAATTCACCGGTCTTGAACCTATTATAGCATTTCCTAATCATTTTCGGATTGCAAAGCAGGACCTGAGGTTCTCAATTCTAGGAGGAGAATCATTTGAATTGCAAAAGTGACGGCTTGACCATTTGAATGGCAGGGAATTACAGTCCACCCAAAATAAATTATTGCATTGAATTTCAGTTTATATTTTGGATTGTGCCAGCGATTTTAATTTTTTTACACAATTTGGAAAGCGCATATTTTAATTCCAACCGCTAATTCTCTCGTTGTATAAAAAGCTGCAAAAGGTGCATGCAAATTAAAAATATCAAAATATGGTATTTGCAGGTAATTTGGAATTGGTATGAATTTTTCTCGTAGCCTTAGCATTATAAGAATTGGATTCCGGCAAATGATGCCGATGATGTTTGCCCTAAAAAATGCTACCCCAGCTCTGGCGCCATTAGACAAAGGAATAAATTGAACAATTTAGGCTGTTCTAGGAGAACCTTATAGTTCTTACTTGTATGTTAATCTCTCTTTGTGTATTTCATGCCCTCATTTGTAGTCCTTTTTCTATTGTCAACGTTGGTGTGTGTTCCTTTTATTCCGCTCTCCCATTTGTTTAATATTATTTATTCAAGATTTCTCTTCATTTTGATGTTTGAAGCATTACATATTTGCAATTTGCATTATTTACGTTATTTTTTTCCTTTCATAATGTGCATCATCCTGCACTCTTCATTGACAAAACTAACAGTGTGTGCTCCATCGGGAATTCAAACCCTTTTCATGCGTTGAATCCAGCTCTTTTTCCTTTCCTAGTTCCCTACTTTTCTTACACCTTGTGAGCCCGTTAGTCCAGGCGACCCTGATTCACCGGCACTATTTGTGCTTAATATAGCGTCCTTAACTCATTTTTTGAGGCAAACAACAGTTTGATTTCTAGAATTGATGCTTAGTGTCGATCTATTTCGTCTCGGTTATTATTTGATTTCGTCATTTATATTCTTCATTTTTGAACACCTGAGGATTTTTGATAGTGACAACTTCGCATTTACTTCCACTAATGATCTTTAGTTGATGAGCTCTTTCGTTAAGTATTGACCTTAATGTCCTAGTCTCATGCATTTAAGCACTGAGTGAGTTTGCTATCACCTTTTCATGCTCTAATAATTCGCTACCTGATATGCATTAATGTTTTACACCTTTTGTTAAAAATTTCTCACGAATAGATTTCCTGCATAGAACGTAGTTGATGTGGGCTTCTGGATGTCAGTTAAGTTTCCCACTGTACTGCTGATCTGTGCTTTGCGCCATTTCTTTTCCTCTTAGTTCTCACCTCCTTTGAAGTGCGTCATATTGCTTTTTTTTTCTTACTTAGATCTCTTTTATTAAGGCCGAAGTCGTTTTGGCTTCTATTATCACACCCATCCACGTCCTAGATTTGTCTCCAAATTTTGCCAATGATTCCATTTAGCCACAGTTGATCCATCTGAATCTATCGGGAAATGTTCTTACGGCTACTTCGGGATGTTTTTTGTTAGAGATTTGATCATAAGGACTAGATTTTTCGTCCCACTCATCGAACCATCGACGACGACGGTTGAGTTTTCTTTTTGACCGTCTGTAAAGCCCTTATATCTCTGTTGTTATAACATCGTCAGTGCTGCTTAAATCAAAGTTTCCTCCGCGTTTATTCATAGATTTTAGTAAGTCTGCTACCAG